TATTTCTTATGTTCATTTTAAAATTGTTTTAGTTTAGACGAAAATTATGATTGTGACAAAAAAAAATAAAAATTGTGATTTAATGGAGAAATTTTTTTATTTTAGAGAGGTTAATGTGATTTTGAACATTTTAGTTTGCTAGATTTATTAATCAATGATCAAGAATAATTTATCGAAAAAATTATGATTTGAAGATTTTATAAATATAAAATTATCTCATAGTTTCAAATTATTGATATATATGTCATAATTATAGTTATTAAAATATCAATTTTTATTTTTTATATTCATTTTGATTTTTAAATAAATTTTCTTTTTCTGATAAATTTTCTTTTTCTGATAAAAATTAATTGATAAAGATTTATTTTTTTTTAATTACTCAACTGCAAACGTTCGAGGAAATCAGTTTTTGGATTTGAGAGATTTGAAGCGATACAGAACGGTACAAAACGTTTTCTATGATTATTGTCAAACGTCAGTAACCGCTACCATCCACAAACATTAGCGAGTGCACCAATCAACCCTAAATGTGATACAATTTAGACGCCCGTTATAATATAGCCGACGGTTTTTATCTCAACCGAACCGAATTTATATGAGCCAATTAATTTTCCCCTAACCGGCCCCAATCGTAGTGAAACGCCGTCGTTTAAGAAAACCTAGAAATCTAATTTCTGGCCAATTCTCTTCGTCTTCATCGACTCATTTCTGTAAAACTCTCAAGCTCTGAGATCTCTTTTCAGGTTATCTCCGTCTCATAATCGGTTTGTGCATCTCTAATCGCGTGTTTCCGTAGCCTTTTTAGGATCTGATTTATCTTAGATTTGGGTATCGAGATTTGGTACAAATTGGAAGTGTAAATCAATTTGATTCTTTGGTTGTCTTTGGTCAGAGAAATGGATCAGGAGGCAGGTGAAACAGCGAGGGATTCTCTAGAGCTTGTGTTTCGCATGTCGAACATATTAGAGACAGGTCTGGATCGACATACTTTGTCTGTTCTCATAGCTCTTTGTGATCTTGGTCTTAACCCTGAGGCTTTAGCTGCTCTTGTCAAGGAGCTTCGTAGAGATTCTGCTTAACAAGATAAATCAAATGCTTTTGATTCATTCCTTAAGGAGGTGGATCAGTTTTATAACATTGATGAATTCTTCTTCTTCCATTGATTTGTTGTTACCTTTGAGCTTTTAGATTTTCATTCTGCCATTAATCTTCTGGAGAAAACCAACTACTGAATTGTTTATTGGGCTATATAGAGTTTTTAGAGATAATGGTTTGATAATCTTTTGCAATTTCAAACTTGGCTTCTTGAAATTTTATCATCTAATTCCATAACTCAAAGTCTCAAACGTTGTAACATCAGATGTTCGATGCAAACGTTGTGGAATGGTTGAAACAGTGGACCATGTACTCCTCCTATGCGACTATGCTCAACGTGTATGGGAGTTAGCTCCCATCCAAATCTCACCTTTGGATCAAGGTTTATACCTCAGGACCTTCTTGGATGCAGCAAAATACTTTGTGGATATCTGTTGGACTTTATGGACCTCACGAAATCAGCTTGTCTTCGAAAACAGAGCATTCTCGGAAGAGGAAACAGTAACCACAGCTGTTATCGATGATACTAAGATTTAGCAAGAGGCCCAAACCTTCCGGCCAAAACAGAAAAACACAACTGCTATGCAAATAACTGAAACGGAGCCCTTACATGGCACACTCTGTTTTGTTGATGATGCAGCTTGGAATCCAGTTACCACACATTGTGGTTTGGGAATGACTTTCCGTGATCATACGGAGTTGTTAGCTCATGAGTATACAAACACCAAACTCAATGCACCTTCAGCACTCTCGGCGGAAGCCTGGGCGATCAGAGAAGCCCTTGAACAAGCAAAGGAAAGACAAATTGGAGACCTCCATATTCACTCTGATTCGCAGGTTCTTGTCAACCTGATAACCAAGGGAGAAGAGCACAACGAACTCTTTGGTGTGCTTTTTGATATTCGATTGTTATCTCACTCCTTTCGCTTGATTTCATTCTCTTATATCCCACGATTGCAAAATGTATTACCTGATACTCTTGCTAAAATAGCTCTGTTGTCCCTCGATCATGAGGGTGCGACGGAATTTTTTAATAAAGTTCAATTTCGACAAAAAACAAAAAAAAGTCTCAAACTATACTTGAAGCATCAATCAAACTTAGCCGAAATGTGAAAACTTTGAAGAAGATCGTACAAATACATCATATATTGCGGAATCATTTTGTTGAAAACGTGAAAACGTAAAAAAGAAGACTATAAATATTGTGAATGGTAAAAAAAAACAGCGGAATCACGTTTTTAAAACGTGAAAACGTGAACAAGTGATATACCATCCAACGGAAAATACTATACTAATTTCTATACTTCACACATCTATGTACGATATCGATTAGTGATCCAGGGATATAGAACCAAGAAGTAGATTAAACCCATAGCCAAATCCCTCTGAATGCGCAAGAGTCTTAATTTGTATGTCAATACTGACTGTATATGAGGTTTTAGAAAGGGTTTCTGTGATTGTGGGACGAAGATCCGGCAATATCAAAACAAATATCGAACTCCGCGGGAGTAGTTATGTATCCGTGGTTTACTAACGCCAAACTGTTCATAGATCTCCCTGGAACACATTCGGTTTGTTGATACAATCTATTGATTTCGATGTTGTGGTAGTGATTGGCACCATATTGTTGGTCCAATGTATCACCTATATAATCAAAATTATATGTAATTTTAATTTAGTTATTACTCTAATCAACAATCACTAACTGTATATAGAATATGATCAACTGTATTTTTAACTTACCTTGTGTCAAAAGGGCAGCCTCGTTCTGTGTTCTTTCCACCACTTCTAACAAGTTCCACTTTGTGTAAGCTTGTTGAGCTAAGGTCTTAACATATTGCTGCAGCAAAACGTAACCATACACGAAATATAAAGACAGCTTCTAACCAATATGACTAAAACGCTAATTAAATAGAAAAGTAGATCATTAACAAACAAATCATTGAGTTATATATACCTGATTAAGCACTTCTTGACCATCGACAATTGCTTTCATAACTTCGCATATCGGGTTCAAAATCATGAAAACATTTTGTTCTCTAAAAATGTACAACTTATCTCCCAAAACACACTCTCTAGCATGCTTCAACGTTACATCCCACATTCTATCAGACATTCCAGTACCCATAGTCTGCAAATCAACAAACTCTTATTAGTCACACAGTCAAATTACTCGCAAAACATAATGTTTAATTAGGACCGGTTTTAAGTCCAAGCGGACTAAGCATGAATTTGCAGCCTTATAAAAAATCAAGGTCATTTCTGTCCATGAAACGACTCGGTTTTTAAAGAAAATGTGCAAAACGATCATTTTTTTTCTCTCTAGCTTGCGGTTTTCTAACATTTAGATCCGATTTTGATACTACTTCAATCCTCTATAACGATTAAGACAAATGAAATAAATTAATTTACCTGACGAAGTTGGTCGACGTTAACGACGGATAACTTCAAAAAGTCTTGAACAGTGTTGATATTATTTTCTTGGAGCTTCTTGTGAAAGGCCCCATCTTTGCCTATCTTCTTTAGCCGCCACACTTCGTCTTCTAACATTGGTGGGTGATGTTTCTTGTACACTTCACCAACCCCAAGTTGTACAAAACAAAGTTATTATTTATAAAGTATTTTAAAATTGTATTTGATTGTTTCCTATGTATCTACTTCATATGTATTTGCGTATCCATGTGTTTGCTAAACCCATTAGATTAGTATTTGCATATTATAAGATTCGAAAAATGATATATATCTCAATTTGTAGACTTATAGTGTATGAAAAAATGAAATATGATTATTGACCAAAGACTTGTGTCCTTTATATAAAGTGGGCAGTCGTTTGCTTATGGTCCACATCGAAAAATACTTTACTTCTAAAAAAAAACATAATAGCAAAAGTGAAAATTTAAAGGGCCTTTTTAATAAATAACCAAAAAAAAAATTAAAAAGTTGGAAAAAGGGGTATGTGACAAATTATAAGCCATTGGATTTAAGTTTTTTTTTGTTAGTTTTCAAATTATAGTTTTTTTGTTGTATTTTTGGCAAGTTTTCCCAATTTTAAAACTGTGTTATGTAGAGACAAAAAAAAACATAAAATTTTAGAAAAACATATATATCACTATAGGACTTCAAATACTAATTGACCAAATACAACAATTTTGTTGTAACCAAATTTTTATTTATTTTTATACTTTTAACTATAAAAACTTAGATTCTGTTAAAAACGGATAAAAACCAAAATATGTAGATAAAATTATTAGTTGATAAATAATAGTTTTTGAAAAAAAAATTCCAAATAGCAATCACAATAATTTTAGGGGCAATTACAAAAATGCTATTTTTAGTGCATATTTACAAGAATGCCATTTAGGGGCGTCTATTTACAAAAATACCACTAATTATGGATTTTTAAAACATATATCTTAAAATTCTAAATCCTAAAAAATGTTTTGACACATAAAACCCCCTAAACACTCAAAATTAAACCATAATAGAACATAATTATCCCAAACATAAATAATATAAAAAAAAATTTGAAAAAGTGGTATTTTGTAAAAAATTTAAGTGTGGCATTTTTGTAAAGTGGCACTAGAAAAATGGTATTTTTTGAAATTTTTCGTAATTTTATACAAATTAAACAAAATATCATATAAATGTATTTCTAATGCACATATATGTTGAATAAAATCTATGTAACAAGGACATGATTGATAGTGTTATCTATAAGATGTGATATGTTACTATCACATCTCTAGTGGACAGTTTAATTAATGAAGATAACCACAAAACTCATTATGTATGGCTATATGTTTGTTATATGTTCATTTATTTTTAGCTAATTAAGGCAAAATCTAGTAATTGAATAATCAAGAAAAGACACTTACATTCTCCACGATGATCTTTAACAACAAACGCTTCAGTCATGGCTTCACAAACCGCAACGCCTTGACCGCTACTTCCTTTCGCAACTTTTACTCCGATTCTAAACTTGCGGCTACGAATCCAACTCGAGTTATCAGTAAACTCAATATTTCCGATCGTTCCAACGCCGTTTCTCACCGTCACAGTTATTTCTCCGGCAAGTAAGGGCCGTTTCCCATCTCTTTCTTTGACTATATTACGCTCAAACTCATCACTACTCCATTTCTCGCCGGAAGGAAAATCTCCGTGAAGAGCAACGATGTCTAGTTTGATCGGACGGTCGAGATTAACCGGAGCCATCGAATGATCATTGCTTGAAGCATCAACAAGGATGATCTCAAGTGGATTGTTGTGCACGTCAATGATTTTAGTTCCGGTGAATATTGGTGTCATTAAGTCCTTACCGAACATTAGCTTTAATTTCGGAGTAGTATTATCCGGAGCTTCGATCCCAAACGACGATGATCGGGAAATTGATCGGAGTCTTTTACTTATTCCATGTTCCACTTCTTCGCTGACCTGTTCACATCACCCAAACGAGTAGAGTTATATTATATACTGTATGAATAAAACAATTGTTGTTCGATATTTTATTACACAAATTGTAAAATATACTAATATAAGTTGTTACTATTATTTGTTTTTTTCTATACTCTATGTATCAATTGATCTAGTGTATGAGTACATGAAATTAAAATGATATCTATTTTTTTTTATTAAAAATCGAAAACAACATTTTTCATGAAACAAAATCATGACTCTAATTAAAAAGACATTGTTTGTAAAATGGAGGTAGTATTAAATATGTAGGCCTATATTTAGATATTGTCAATAGAACTAGCGTTTATATATGTACGTGTGGACTGTTCTTTTGTCTTTTCTCTCTTAGATATAGTTGACTTAAATGTTAGGTTAGAGAGGTCTTGTTATGAATTAGTATTAAAAGATTTGTAACTCTATCAGTACTGATTACTATCT